AAGGTAAACGTATGATCATTTGTCGAACGTATGGTACAGTCAGGGTCATCTACCAGCATAATAACATGCATCGCGAGCTTTTCTGGCCAGATCTGTAAGAATAAGGTAAAATATAAGTCATTATAAGTCTTACTCAGCTTTTATTTTTCACTACTACTTCAGAAAAATATCAAGTGCTTTCGACTAGTGTTGGAAAGCGAAGAAAAATATGTCTGTTCGACCAAAAACTAAAGCCTCCTGGAGCTCGTATTTACTTTGAGTTAGTCATCAAAGACAATCATAGCTACTGAATAACTGGACAGTAATTTCTCGTTGAATTATTCGTGAAACTAAGTGTTTGCAATGTTCCTCAGCATCCCCTGACATGGTTCCAATGCAAAAAATCCGAAAATTTTGTGGGCCAAGAAAGGGTCTTATCCGCCCTACTCCTTTTACATAAAAAGCTATGTCTGAATTATGATCATATATGCAAGAAAGATTATCTAAATTTACGTATTCGTATAGTGTACAATTACCCGCTCTGTTAGATCAATTAATAAAAGTGAAAATAGATGAAAATAGTTTAAAACAAAAAAAATCGTATTTATTGACTACATAAGAGGTATTCTGTAGTCAATCAATAACGAGTGTCAATTCTGTAACTTGTACTCCCGTCTGTAAGATAAATTAAATATTTTCCACTTTTTGAATTATATTCAAGTTTGTCAACTTGAAAATGACTTGCAGCATCTAAAAGTACTTCTTGTTCCTCAGGATAATACGAAAGTGATGAAATGTCACTCCTTCTAATGTATCCAGCACCAAGTTGAATAATAAATAATGTATTACCATCAAACTGTTCAGCTACTTTAGGATCTTTCGATGTTGAAGTAAATGCTGACCATTTGATGCATGTACCAACGACCTTTTCGTAAGCATCAATCATTTCGTCTGTCAAAGTAGCACCACGATAAACAGTTAGGCGTTTATTATTTTGTGGTACATTGTTTAGTGGTATTGTGTGATATTCTGAGAAATATCTATCTAATAAATAACAATAAGCGCCCAACGTATCAATTTGACTTCTATCATCTGCTCTTAAAGTCGAATTAACCAATTTGTAGAGAAATGATTCAACTGAATAAAGATGAATGGCTAATTTTAAAATTTCATCCGTTGTTTTATCTTTCACATTTCGTAATTCATTGGCAATCAATTGTCCTTCAGGTTCTCTATTTAATAATTTTCCTTCATTCAAAATACCTATAGTTTTATAACACAAGAAGTGAATCTCTGTGATAAAGAACGTATATAAAGAAAGAAAGAAATTATACCTTTAGCAGCTTGTTCAACAATTTCTCGCCACTGTATAT